TTCTACTGTGGTTAATAGTATCATTTGTGATAGATTTTAACCGTTGCAAACGGGGTTTTTTTGTGACGGTCCCCAACTGTGTTTAATAGTACCTTTTGCGATAGATTAAAACCATCGAAAATGGGTTTTTTTGTGACGAAAAATTGCTGATGCAAACAAAAAATATCGGATCTAAGTTTTTTTTGCGACGACGTATTTTGCATCGGGTTTTGTCGATGCAAAAGCTTTTGTGACGGTTAATTGCCGATGCAAAATCTTTTGCATCGCCTATTATTTGCTACCTCTAATTTGTCGACTCAAAAGATTACGTTGCCGTCGAAAATACTATTTGCCACAGTAACGTAATCTTTTGAGTCTACAAATTATTGATGCAAAAAACCTATTTTCTTGTAGTAAGGAGCCTCTACCTGGGACACTGTTTGATTGAAGACCTCTTCACCGAATCCCTCCTCACCTTCTATGGAAGTTTGCTACTTTAAAGAAAAGAATGAAGAAAAGGGGGTTTTCAAGATTTTGTAAGTCCTGGATATAGGGAAGATGCTCTAAGAAGGCTTGTAAAGTCCTAAAACATGGAGCCTAGGTGAAAGGAGAAAGCAATCGACATTGCGATGGTGATGCAAGATGGGGAACGAATTTTTACAGACAGAAATGGAAAGCCGAAGAAGCTATACCGTGGAAAGCAAGAAACCTCTTTCAGATGCAGAGCTCACTCATACCCTTAAAATCTTTGGCACAACAAGAATTTGGGGCATAGGGGCAAATGATGAGTCCAAGTTTAACTGGGCCAGACCCAATAAATTGAATGGACTTAGAGCAACTGAAAGGATCCCTCAGGTCTAACCCATAGGTTTATTGATCCAACCCAGTCCAATAACCAAGGAGCCTAGGAAGATAAGAACACGTGAGAGAGAGATCATCGGAATACTCATCCTCGAAGATCAAGGTTGTAACCTCCCTTCATTGAAATGGGCATCTCACTACACCACTCTACACCTGTACATCACTCTACACACTTTCTCTCTCCTAGCTATTGTATCTCTCCTGGAGCTAACAATTGCTCTTTCCCTCTCGTTCACCTTACTTCATCAATAAAAACTCTCGACCACCATTGTCGTTTTTCAAAGTGGAGTAGGTCCAAGGGCGGAGGGAGGCTAGGGCCAGGGTGGGCACGTCCCCTCCACCCACCCAAAAAAAAATTATTAATTAAATATATATATATATATATATATAATATTTGTGTAATATATTATTTTTGCCCACCCAAAATCTGAGATAAAAATATTAGGCTCACATTATTTACTCAAAGGAAATAAAAAATTATGCCCATTTAAAATTAAAAAAAATTGAGTCCACCACTCTCTATCAAAACTTATTAAAAAATTAAATTTTTGACCTATCACAATCCACCCAAACCTATTAAAAAAATAAAACTTTTGATCCACCATTAAAAAACAAAGTTTTTAGCCCACTTGACAGACATCATTAACACCTATCTTATTAGTTATTTTTTTTCCTCTTTGTCTCACTCACTCCTAGTTGCCCAACCAAAAGAAACAAAGTAAAACTCCTTTCTCAGTTTATTGGATTTTTTTGTCATTCCTTGCACAGTTGATGGGTTTAGTAGAGATTCTAGCCAGAGCCAGCATATGCCCAAGGGGGCACATGTCCACCCTCAAATTTGTTTTCTTAACATTACCTATATGTATTTCAATTATTTCTTCAATATTTTTAATTATGTCCACCCTATTTTTTTGGCACATCAATTAGTGTACACTTATATCAAATAAATATGAATTTTTTTGACACACTTTGGACATGTTATGTATATAAAGACCAAATTTATAAAATGGAGGTGTATATAAAAAAATAATAAAGTTATTATGCAACGGTTTCAAAGTATGAAAATTCATCGGAGTCAATTCTAAATGATTTTAATTAGCCTATATTTTGTTAAAAAAAAAATTGGTGTCATTTGTATATATAAAACTTACCAAATTTTGGTATGTTGGGTTTAATGAACTTTTAAGTATTAATTAAATATAAATTATTTTCCTATTTCTATTGATTGTAAAAAAAAAAAATTTAGTTTGTTGAAATATTTGTGCCCACCCTGACATGACTTTCTGGCTCCACCTCTTAGTAGGTCATCCGAACCGAACTACTATATATCGGTGTATTGACTCAATATATACATTACTGTCATTGATTGTTTTATTAATTATCTATTAATTATACCTCATCACACACCCAATTATTGATCTTGCACGAGATTATTATGTGCATCATCAGACGTGATTTAATGTATAAAAAATGAAAAGTACTATATGCGAAAAAAAATTTGCAAGACGCATTTTGGTTCATAAGGTCAATAAATTTGAGACAATTTAAACCTTCTTTTTTTGTTGAGATTACGTCGTTCATCAAATATATTTTTATTTTGTTTTGAATTAATATGAACTTCTCTCTATCTTTAGAATTCAAAACTTCATATACTTTATTATATATATAATTTTCAGCACTATAAGGCAAATAATAAATGCAATCCTTAATCTAGGAAAGGTTCACAATTGTTATTATGGCATCTCAATTAGGCTCTCAAAGGTCAAATCAAGGGCTGTCTCGAATAAATTCTCCATCTTGCTGGGACAGTGGGGCTACATGTTAGCCCAATAGTACTCGTTATGATTTTTTTTAAAGATACTTGCATTGGATATCATAGTACGTTGGGATTTTGTGCATCTGTTGTATTGGTGTTAAAAATTGGTTGTTTACGGGATGACAGTAGATTAGAAAAAAATAGATATTTGTTCAAATTCGTTCCGTTTAAATTAAAAATAGGTTATATATATTGAAATGTGAACGTATGTGGGAATACCATATGGGGATGAAGGCGGAGATGGACTTACCCTTATCCCTGCCCCCGCTACACATTAAATAAATAAATAAATATATATATATATATACTCTTAAGCTCTAAGTAAACATATTTATTGTAACTACCAATCTAAAAATAAGATAATCAAACTAAAAAGTGGCATTATTATGTGATAATCTTATCAACTTTTTTCCTGATTGTTCTTTTTTCTATTTGTGCTCACTAATTGAAACTATTAGGGGTATAGATTGATCATGCTCTAAAAACATATAAGAGAGAGTAAGATAGTTTTACATTTCATCGTGGGTAGAAATATTGTGAATGGAGGTTGCTGAGTTTTTCTGTTACAGTGAACTAAGAAATGGGGAGAATTATTGAATTAACGAAATTTTATTTTTTCATCTTTTAACACTTTATGACTGTAATATGAATTGTAATAACAAAAATTCTTCTAGAAAACTTTAAGTGTAGTGTTATCATTTTCTTAATTCAATTTTTTTTTTCTTCCTTTTTCTCTAATAGTTCCGTTTCTCTTTTTGTGGTTCAATGACACTTTAAATAGAATACTATATTATTTTGACTTTTATATTTTGTGATCTACATTATGTTGTGTTAGATATGTTAGAATGTTGTTGGATTATTTAAAATATTAGATTTATTTAGAATTTTAGATTATGCTATTTGGATTCAGGCTTAGACGGGTACGGAAAAAGCGGGGACGAGAATGAGGATTAAAAATTTATCTGTGAATGAAAATGAAGATGAAAATTATATCCATTATTAAAAATGGATCAGAGATAAACAAAAATTTTTTAAGCTTGTAAAAAAATAAAGACTACACTCCACGCCACACCCCTGGTTCGGTCAACTGTCATCCTATTGTCTACTGGATGCTCTGTGGCCCTATTAAAAAGAACGCACAAATGAGCTAAAGACCCCACCGACAATTCAGGCCGATACTGTGGCAATAGAATGAAACTTAACATTAACGCTTATGTACTTTAGCGTACTCAACATTGTTTATTGTTCTTGTAGAGTAAGTTTCTTTAAATGAAAGAGAAATATGAACGTAGAAGATGGGACAATTGACGTGGAAACTTCATTGTGGGAATGGCCTAATTCTCACCTTTAACCAATTGGGAATTATTCTTAATCGACTCACGTTCTTAGCGGGTCTTGCCCTCCAAATATGGGAAGCCCTTGACTGGATTTGACCTGCTCTATTGTTGAAATGTGGGTCATTTTTCTTTTCTTCTCCCTTGTTTGTCAATATTCTGATTTCTAGTTCTATTCGAGTAGGAGGAAAAAAACACAAGAAATATTGTCTTCTACTTTATTCACAACCCAAGACTTGAAAAACAAGACTATAGAAGTTGCCCATTTTTTAATCTCTAATTACTTGCTACAATATTAAAAATTTAATGCCACAGTTATAATGGGCAAGGGGTTTATGAAATCTAATTTTTGGCAAATCTTCCCTTAAAAATCAGATTTTGTGAGGTACGACTCTAGTCTAATAAAAGGTAAATATCTGACAAAAAAATAACTAAAAAACTAAAAAAAATGAAATGAGAACTACAAAGTAAAACAATTACTTCGTACACATACGGGAATCTCTTGTGAACAAACAAAAAACGTGCCTCTTATCAACTAAATATGGAGAACTACAAAGAAAAACATTTACTTCGTACACATACGGGAATCTCTTTCAAGCAATCATGGGCGTGCCTCTTATCAACTATATTGAAGATAGGCATGATGGATGGCTTGAGAGCTTTTAATTTCTCTAGTATTGTATTTATAATTCTTGATTAATTGCCATGCAAAATATTAATTCCTTGGGCAACAAAGGTGTCCACAAGAACACTAGTTAACTTGGTGTTTCGGTCATTGACCCATTGCGTGTTTTTGTGCGTATCTGGTACGTTTATAGCATCTAAATCGTCAAAGTATATTATTACGAATGTTGTCAAGACCACGAAAATAGAAACAAGGACAATTGAGGCCTATAATAGCTCATAGCTTGGCACAAGAGTACACCATTAAACCCTAGCTCTCTCTCTCTCTCTCCTCACACACGAGCGCACAACCCCACCCTGTCCTCCTTCCAACCCAAAGAAAGAACATGGCAGTGGCACCAACCAAAGGCAATATAGTGATGTTCCCATTCATGGCACAAGGCCATATAATCCCATTCTTAGCATTAGCACTTAAACTGGAACAAGAAAAGGGTTACACCATAACCTTTGTGAACACCCCTCTCAACATCAAGAAACTCCAACACTCTCTCCCTCAAAACTCCTCCATTCGTCTCCTTGAAATCCCCTATAACAGCACTGACCATGGACTCCCTCCAAACTCCGAAAGCACCGAGACTCTCCCTCTCTTTCTCATGTTCCAATTCATCGAATCATCAACATCTCTCAAACCCGCCTTCACAAAACTCATCTCCAATCTTGTCAAAGAACAACATGGCCACCCACCGCTTTGTATCATCTCCGACATGTTCTTCGGGTGGTCGGCAGTGGTGGCTCACCAATTCGGTGCCTCTCACGCAATCTTTAACGCCGGTGGTGGCTATGGCATGGCAGTTTTTCACACTACGTGGTTGAACCTGCCTCACTTGAAAGAAAACTTAAACTCTGACGAATTTTCGCTTCCTGGTTTTCCTGAAGGTTATAGTTTTAATGTCAACCAATTACCAGAACATATGAGAGCAGTCACTGGCCCTTGGAACTTTGTACAAACAATGTTTAAAGATTGGTTGGAGAGTGATGCAATGCTGTTCAACACAGTTGAAGAGATTGATCATACAGGATTGAACTATTTCAGGAAACAATACAGCTGTTCAGTATGGGCTGTAGGGCCTATTCTTTCATCTGTTGGAAGCAAAGCTCGTGGTGGAAAAGAAGCCGAGGCCATGTCGAATCTTTGCATGAAATGGCTCGATTCAAAGCCAGAAAACTCCGTTTTGTACGTGGCTTTTGGATCACAAAACACACCATCAGAGCCACAGATCAAACAGTTGGCGATGGCGTTAGAGGCCAGTGGCAAGAATTTCCTCTGGGTTTTCAGGCCACCATCAAGCTTTGTCATGGACTCGAACAACAAAGACAATGAAGAATGGTTGCCAAAAGGGTTTGAACAGAGGATTAAAGAGAACAACCGGGGATTACTGATTCAACAATGGGCACCCCAGATGGAAATTCTGTCTCATAAATCGATTGGTGCATTTCTCAGTCACTGCGGATGGAACTCAGTGATCGAAGCTCTCAGCCATGGTGTCCCAATGCTTTCATGGCCAATGGGTGCTGAGCAGCCTTTCAATGCGAAGATGTTGGAGGAGGAGATAGGAGTGTCTGTTGGGGTGGCATATGGGAATGACTGTGAGGTAAGGTGTGAGGATATAGTGAGAAAGATTGAGTTGGTGATGGATGGGACAGAGACAGGGAAGGACATGAAGAGGAAAGCTTGTGGTGCGAGAGAGATGATCAAGAATGCTACCATAGATAAAAAGGGTTTCAGAGGCTCTTCTGTGGGAGCCATGGATGAGTTCCTGCTTGCTGTATTGCAGATGAGGAAGAAGCTTTGGGGATCATCGAAATGGTGTAGCGTGCGGTAGATGCAAACGTGAAGCCTTCTCTTGGGTTTCTTTCGTTTAATTCTCTCTCTCTCTTTTCAGTTCTATTTACTGTTTTAGGTTATTATGAATGAATAACGCCGCTTAAACTTAAGTTATTGACCTAATCAATTATAATTGTTACATTACTGGCAGTCCCAATGTTAGACGGGTTTCCTCTCAATCAAAAACAATTATAGTGAATTAAGTTAATAAATTAAGTCTGAATAAGATTTTAGATGTTATATTTTTTTTTTGTTAGTGTAAACGGGATCTCAAATCTATATGGAAAAATCATAATGAAATTTTTGTTTGTGTGACATTAATTTTTAAGTTTCTTCCTTCTAGTCTCTTATTGTATTGTTCATTTAGAGCAATGATATAAAGACCTTATTTAGGAATTTAATTTGAAAACTTAATGGTATGATTTCAATGTAATTATTAAATTAGTTATGAGTTATAATGTTAAATAGAGCCCATAATCAATCGAAGAATTATACATCATTATGTCCTTGGATTAAGTTCTCAAATTATATTCAAATAGCAAATTCCGTTCAATTAATGTTGAGTTAATTACAGTAAACCCACTAAGGTTTTATATAAAATGGGGTTTAGAACAGAGTTCTCGCCCTTTTGTGATTGATGCTCTTAGGAAAGAGCGTCCGAAATGATTAGAATATCAATTGGCCATCACCATGCTTAAACCTCTCAAAGACGGGTTAATATGGGTGGAGGTGGGTTGTCCAGCAGGGGTGGCGGCGGCGGCGGTGTTTGTTGTTTTGGGCCGGGGGGGGGGGTGTGTGAGAGAGGAGGGACGTTAATTTACCATCTACTCTAAAAGTATAAGATGAAAGAGAGTATTGTAGTATAAATATATTTAGAATAATTTTATTTGATCTAATTTGTTGATATAATAATGTGATTTCAATAAAATTATTGAATTAACACTAAATTTTAATGATTAATGAAGTTCATAGTCAATCTAAAGATTATAATGAATTAGCTTAATAAATTAGGTCCCAATAGCATTGGTTATATATTTATGTAAGCTTTTTTAGTTTGTTGAACTATGACCTCTATGCTCTCTTATCACGTAAAACCTATAATACTTTATCACGTGAAATGCTGTGATCTTATGTAATTTGAATTATGACCACTAGGCTCCATTTTTAAGGGTGCAACACGAAGACTTTCCGGTTATAGAGAATGGACTTCATGTCTAGTTGGGTATTTTATTGATAAAAAACTCCTATTCTTAGTGGTTAAAACAATTGCACAAAGACTATGGAATACTAGAGAGTGGACCATGGTTAATGTCTGGGAGACGTCTTATACTTAAGAAGTGGCATCTAGATTTCAACCAAGGATCTGCACTCTAAGATCGCTGTTTGGGTGAAGCTCTATAATATCCCAATGGAATATGGAATTGAGGAAAGGTTGAGTTATATAGGGGTGTCAATCGTGTCGTGTCGTATTATTTTTGTGTTATATTACTTTTAATCGTGTTAATTTCATGTTGTGTAACTTTTGATTGTGCTATTTTCGTGTCATGTCACTTTCGATAAGTGTCGGGTTCGTGTTAATATTTGTGTTAATAAAAAATTATTTAATTCGATAACAAATTATATAATACTATTTAAAAAATTATAAAATTCTTATTTTCTGTCTATATTACTCGTTAAATAATTATTTTTTATCTACAGTACTCATTAATCGTATTATTCGTATCGAACTTTTATTTGACCAATTTATTACTCGTGTTAATTAATCGTGTTATTTTTAAATTTTATGCCGCACCAAGTTCATGAGATAAAATTGACACCCCTACACTTGGTAGACCAGTTTATGCACTCCCTAACTGAATCTAAGCAAAGAATCACCTTTGCTAGACTCTATGTTGAAATTGAAGCTAATGAGGAACCAATTGAGATATTTGAGTTATATATGCAAGAGGACCAGACAGAGGACAAAGGGGTAGTTGAAATTAATGTGGAGTACCAATGGAAGCGTAGAACTTGTGTGCATTGCAAAGTGTTTGGCCATAGCAATCATAACTGTCCTAAAGAAAAAACCAAACAAAAATGGAAGAAGAAATCTGGACAAGAGGACAAAGTTAAAGAGTATTGTGAGGTCTGCAATTGAGATAAATGAGAAGAGTGATGGCAAAAATCAACAATGTCAAGGCAGCTCTAGCAACACTGATTTGAGCCTAGTTGAATGAGAAGGCAACAATCAACAGAAGGGAGATTATATTGGAGCCTTAGACCAAACAATCTCAGGAGATCAGGTTATTACTGAAATTCATCATACTCCACCACAGCCACAAAAGATAAGAGGATATTTGAACAAAAAATCAATTTGCTAGACTGTTGGTTGAATTGAATGGTAAGAAACCAATTGAAATTGAGAAGTCTGCTTCGCGAGATACTAGCCTACTCCCTAGGCGGGTGATAAATATTGATGGCATCAATCTGGGCATCACTAAAAAGAAGATGCATAAGAAAAAAAAATGCCCTCTGAGGGGCCAAAGTGGGGCGGGAAAATACCAGGGGCACCATCCTCCATGAATTAAATGATAAATTTGGCATGTTGGAACATAAATATTGAGAACAAAAGTGACATACATGTATCCTTTATATGTGAGGCCAATGATGACAGAGAAAGGAGATTATGGAGGAACTTAGAGTACCTTGCTAAAATGAACTTACTAATACCTTGGGTAGTTCTTGGAGATTTAAATGTAGTTAGGTGTTGGCCCATGAGCTCGTTGGCTCAGCATTGGCATGTGACTGCCTCGCTCAAAGACGTCCATGCCTTAACCAAATTGGGTTTTGCTTAGTGAAGCAAATATTTAGTGCAAAGTTGACTTCCTAAGAACTTGTACACGTGTTTTGTTGGGTTACAAAGTGGTTCAGCAAAGACTCAAGTGGCATATAACGACTATGCATTTAGCTCAAATTATTATGACTCCTCGACTCAATGTATGTTGCTGCCAAAAGGGTTTTGCTCACTAACACTATTATGGGGGGGGGGGGGGTGCTCCACGAAGGGGATACAAGCCAGCTTCCCTAGGAACCCCTATGCCCCTAAGCCTTGGCATACCAAAAAAAGGCACGACCCCAACAAATGTTTGCCATGGATGGAGACAAGGCATTCCAAAGTCCGAGATCTAAAATGCGACGTTGATGATTGGTGGGACCTGTCATTGGTGGAAACCCCATGCACAACTGAGGGAGGTAGCACATGCATGGGCACGTTGGGCATGATCAATGGGTTGATTGAAGCCTTATGCATGGCTAAAGAAGACAACTCATGCATGGGCACGTTGGGCACATCTAGTGGGTTGATTGAAGCCTCATGCATGGTTGAGAAAGGCAGCTCATAGATGGATACGTTGGGCACAAGCAAGCATGCAAGCAAGGCTAGCCGATGGGCTTGAATTGTGGGGCAATGCTAGCTTGTAAGACCAAGTCACGGGCTGCCAGAGTTGGGCATGACTTGGCATGAAGGCAAGGTAAATTAAGTGTTGTGAGCTCGCAAGGAAGACATGTGCACAACATGTGAGGTGGTTCCGAACTATTAGAGTATGTGTGGCTCATATTTGCTGTATGCACAATGACAAAGAGGCAGATGTCGGAGCGGAGCCCGCGACGACATCTGCCTTGCGAGATTGATATATTTTATGTATGGGGGGGACGCTAATTAGTTGGGGGACGCTGATTGTAAATATTTTCGTACTAGGGTTATATAAATACTTAAAATATAACCCTACTTTGAATAATGAAAAAAAAGGGCCGCTAGCTCCTGTGGATGTAGGCACATTGCGGAACCACATAAATTTCTGTGTTATTTTCTCTTGCTTTCTTAATTGTTTGATTCCTTATTATTCACCATAATTGTTGCACAATCACAACAACTGGTATCAGAGCAAAGGCTATGATGTCTGGGATTTCTTCTGCAAAATTCGACATCATGAAGTTTGATGGAACTGAAAATTTTGGATTATGGTAGAGGAGGATGAAGGACCTATTAGTGCAGCATGGCATGGTGAAGGCGTTATACGGAAAACAACCGGCAGGAATGGACGACATGGATTGGAAAGAATTGGAAGCGAAGGTTGTGGCAACTATTAGGCTTTGTCTGGATGATGACGTGATGTATCACGTCATGAATAATGAATCACCGGCGAAAGTTTGGTTGAAACTGGAAAGTAGGTATATGTCCAAGTCGTTGACGAACAAACTCTATCTTAAGCAGAAACTATATGGTCTTAAGATGTCAGAGGGCTCGGATCTGACCCAACACATCAACGTGTTCAATCAGATCATCAGCGATCTGAAGCGAGTTGATGTGAAGTTCGAAGATGAAGACAAGGCGTTGATGTTGCTGAATTCCCTACCAGCGTCTCCTACGTACGAAAATTTGGTTACAACTCTGATGTGGGGAAAAGAAACCCTCGAGTTGGAGGATGTCACAGGTGCTCTGTTAGATTTTCATCAGCGAAAGAAAGCCAGTGATGAGGCTTCACAAGGTGAAGGGCTTGTGGTAAAAGGTAACCAGGAATGTGGAAGAAGTAAATCTCGGAATGGATCGGGTAACAATAAAGCCCGGTCCAAGTCGAGGAAGAAGAAGAAGGACGTCTCCCTCTCTTGTTACAAGTGCGGGAAAAAGGGGCACTTTAAACGGGACTGTCCAAAGAAAAAGAAAGGGGATTCAGAGGACAAAGAGGGTCCATCAAAGTCTGCAAACGTAGTGGAAGAAGAAGATTCAGAGAGCAGTGACGGTGATATGCTTTCTGTTTCATCCGGTTCAGATCGTCTAACAGATTCCTGGATTATGGATTCAGCATGTTCCTATCACATGACACCCAATAAATATTGGTTTGACACCTACAGGTCAATAAATTCTGGTTCTGTTCTGATGGGTAATGATGCATCCTGCAAAATTGTTGGAATAGGGAATATTATAATTAAGATGTTTGATGGTGTGGTTAGAACGTTGTGTGATGTTAGACATGTACCGGATCTAAGGAAGAATCTGATTTCATTGGCACTTTAGATTGTAATGGTTATAGTTACAAATCTATAAATGGAGTAATGAAAGTGAGTAAAGGCATGCTGACAGTGATGAAGGGGCAGAAAGTAGCAGAAAACATTTACAGACTGTTGGGTACCACGATTGTAGGTGGAGTTGCTGCTGTAGAGTCTGAATCAGATAGTACAGTCTTGTGGCATATGCGGCTGGGTCATATGAGTGAGCGTGGGATGATAGAACTTCATAAGAAAAATCTATTGAATGGTATCAAGACATGCAAGTTCAATTTTTGCAAATATTGTGTTCTTGAAAAACAGAACAGGGTGCAGTTCAAGACGGCCACACACAAGACAGAGGGAATTCTCGACTATGTCTATACAGATGTTTGGGGACCAGTTAGCGTAGTATCACGGGGAGGATACATGTATTTCATGAGTTTCATTGATGACTACTCGCGAAAGGTCTGAGTGTACTTCATGCGGCACAAGTCCGAAGCATTTGCCAAGTTCAAGCTGTGGAAAGCTGAAGTAGAGAACCAAACAGGGAGGAAGATTAAATGCCTCAGGTCAAATAATGGTACTAAGTACACAGATTCAAAGTTCCAGGAGTTGTGTGAGCAGCATGGGATCAAGAGACACTTCACAGTCTGCAAGACACCACAACAAAATGGTGTAGCGGAAAGGATGAACAGAACGATAGCCGAGAAAGCTCGGTGTCTCAGGTTGAATGCAGGGCTTGCAAAGAATTTCTGGGCAGAGGCAGTGAATATGACATGCTTCTTGATTAACAGATCACCGAGGGCAGCACTAGATGGGAAAGTATCAGAGGAGGTGTGGACAAGCAGTGAGGTAGACTACTCTGGTTTGAGAGTGTTTAGATGTCCAGCCTATGTACATGTTTCTAGTGAGGAGAGGTCGAAGCTTGATGCGAAGTCTAGATAGTGTATCTTTCTGGGATATCAGAAAAGGGTGAAAGGCTTCAAACTCTGGGATCCGAAGGCAAACAAGATGGTGATTAGTAGAGATGTGATTTTTGATGAAAAAGCCATGTTACAGCGTACTCAGGAAGAAGAGAAACAAGTGCCAAAAAATTGTAGCACTAATGAGCATATGGTGCAGGTGGAGCTAGAGAACCATGGTAGAGAAGAGGATGCTCAGCATGTAGAGAGTTCTATCTCAGGTGATCAGCAGCATCATAGTATAGCCACAGACAGGCCCAAACGCAATATCAAGCCGCCTACCAGGTATGATTTTGAAGATTTGGTTTCTTATGCGCTTATTACTAGTAGCGGGGAACCTACAACTTTTCAAGAGATAGTACAAAGCCAAGAGAAAAGTAGATGGATGGGTGCTATGGTGGAGGAGATGGAGTCTCTGCATAAGAACCTGACGTGGGAGTTGGTGGAGCTTCCCAAAGGGAAGAGAGCGATAGGGTGCGAATGGGTGTATAAGAAGAAAGAAGCATTATCAGAAAAGGAGAGGGAAAAATTCAAGGCTCGTCTAGTAGCAAAGGGTTACTCACAGAGAAAAAAGGTTGACTATGATGAGATCTTTTCCCCCATGGTCAGACACACTTCCATCAGGACAGTGTTGACACTAGTAGCACATTCAGATATGCAGTCGGAGCAGATGGATGTAAAGACAGCTTTCTTTCATGGCGACTTGGAGTAACAGATTTACATGGTACAGCCAGAAGGGTTCAGTCACCCTGGAGAGGAACATTTGGTCTGTAATTTGAAAAAATCACTTTATGGGCTGAAGTAGTCTCCGAGACAGTGGTACAAGCGATTTGACTCTTACATGATTCGGATTGGCTACAAAAGGTGTGAGTATGATTGTTGTGTCTATGTGAAAAGCCTTGATGATGATTCATTTATTTTTCTGTTACTTTATGTGGATGATATGTTGATTGCTGCCAAGAGTATGAGTGAGGTCAACAAGTTGAAGACTTTGTTGAGCAGAGAATTTGACATGAAGGATTTGGGTGCGGCTAAGAAGATTCTTGGGATGGAGATTCGCAGGGACAGAAGTTCCAGGAGATTATGACTATCTCAGCATAGCTATGTTGAGAAGGTGTTGGATAGGTTCAACATGAGTTATGCAAAATCAGTAAATACACCTTTAGCGAATCATTTCAGATTGTCTACCGTTCAGTGCCCGAAGACAGATGATGAAGTTCATGACATGTCAAAGGTCCCATATGCTAGTGCAGTGGGGTGCTTGATGTATGTCATGGTTTGTACAAGACCAGATTTGGCACAAGCTATCAGCGTGGTTAGCAAGTTTCTTTCAAATTCGGGTCGACAGCATTGGAATGTAGTCAAGTGGATTTTCAGATACTTGAGAGGCACTACAGACTATGGCATTATGTTTAGCAGACAACAGAGTGACCCTTCAATTGTGGGATATATGGATGCAGACTATGCAGGGGACTTAGATGACAGGAGGTCTACCACAGGTTATGTGTTTACTCTTGTGGGAGGACCTATTTGTTGGAAATCCATGGTACAGCCTATAGTTGCACTATCTACTACTGAGTCAGAGTATATAGCAGTAGCTGAGGCTATCAAGGAGGCTTTGTTGCTTACAGGTTTGGTCAAGGAGCTGGGTGCCCAGCAAGGTGGAGTTCAGTTGCATTGTGACAGTCAGAGTGCCATTTATTTAGCAAAGAACCAGGTGTATCATGCGAGGACCAAGCACATAGATGTGAGGTTTCATAAGATCAGGGAGCTGATTTCTTCTGATGAACTATTACTTGAGAAAGTTCACACTTCTGAGAATGCAGCAGACATGTTGACAAAGCCTGTTACTACAGACAAGTTCAAGCACTGTTTGGACTTGATTAATGTCTCCAATTGCTAGATGGGAGATGTCTAACTTAGCGTCCCCAGTGGAGTTCCCGTATACATATTCTCTTTTTTTTTTTTCCTAAGGAGTGAATATTTGCCAAGGTGGATATTGTTAGAGTATATGTGTGTCTCATATTTGCTGTGTGCACAATGGCAAAGAGACAGATGGCGGAGCAGGGGGGGCAGAGTGTAGCGGAGTGGAGCCCACGACAGCATCTGCCTTGCGGGATTGATATATTTTTATGTATGGGGGACGCTGATTAGTTGGGAGTGCGGGGGCAACGCCCCTGCGGTACGGTACAGGGGTATTTTTATAAATATATCCGTACTAGGGTTATATAAATACTTAAAATATAACCCTACTTTGAATAATGAAAAAGAACGGCCGCTAACTCCTATGGATGTAGGCACATTGCCAAACCACGTAAATCTCTGTGTTATTTTCTCTTGCTTTCTTAATTGTTTGATTCCTTATTATTTACCATAATTGCTGCACAATCACAACACGAACCGTTAAGGCATGTGCACTATAGATGATGACGATTTCAGACGGTTGCTGGCATGTGCATGGCATGAAGGATAGTGATGTGCAGTTGCTGACATATGCACATCATGAGGGAGATTGCTGGCATGTGCACACAGCATGCATAGCAGTTGTGGACAGTTGTTAGCTGGGTCAGCCAACAGTTGCAACTGCCCCTTGCCATAATCAACACATTGTAGGAGTGGCAGAGGGACTCAGCCATGATCAGCAAGCTATAAGAAGCTTTGTGGCCAAATCTAATTGTTGCTTTGCATTACCTAGCCATTTGGGCTTTGTAACCGTCACATTGTATACTATTTATAAGCATGCTATGGTCTACAGTGCAACCAACAAAGTTTGGACATTTTTTGTAAATAGACCCTAGCCAATTCCTTTAGGCTTGCTAAGAAGTAAAAGGTTTGGCCTTTTGGCTTGTAATTCTCGTGTGTCTGCTTTGAGTTTGTGTGTTTGCTCATATTCTATTCATTGTGTACATTTCTATAAGCTATTGTGTGTATTGGTTGAGACTGAGTGCTAGATCTCAGTGCCATCACGATCCAAAAATTCGAGTGAAATTTGACCCCTATGACATTACGACTATTGAAAATATCACAGGAGGTAGTAACAAAAGGACAAGGGCCATGGAGGAATTGGAGGATTGCATGCAGCAAATAGAATTGGAGGACCTAAGTTTCTCAGGTTTGCATCACACTTGGTGGAATAATAGAGATGATCCAGCATTATATTTTCAAAAACTTGGATAGTGTGATGGTAAATGAAATCTGGAACCAAAGATTTAGCTAGGCTGCAACACAGTTTTTACAAGCAGGAATCTCAGATCATAGTCCAGCAATGGTCAGGATCAAAAAGGACAAAAAATCAAGAAAAAGTTCATTCAAATTCATCAACTTTATAGCTTATAGGGAGGACTTTTTGAGCATTATGGACCAAACATGGAAAGCTCAAATCAAGCGGACACAACAATTTCATGCAAGAAATTGAGATTACTTATGAAGTTAAATAGAGAGAAAATTGGGGATGTTGCAAAAAGTCCATTGAGGCCAAAAAAACCTTTAGATGCATGGCAAAGGCATTTGGATGGCAATTCTACAGATAATTCACTTAGATTTCAAGAAAAGGAGCTAACGAGGCAACTAACCGAGGCTTTGAAACAAGAAATGTAGTTTCTAAGGCAAAAGTCCAGAGTTTGATTGGTTGAAATCTTGTGATAGGCATTCATCATTCTTTTTCAAGTCAATCACTAATAGACTGAATAGAGCGAAGATCACTAACATACATAAAGCTGATGACATACTAATGGAGAGGGAGGAAGAAGTAAAGGGAGTAGCTTTGAACTTCTTTTCAGAACTTGGGCACACTAGTCCTCAGCTGCCTAATAGAGCTTCAATCTTGAGAAGGATCATTCAACCTTTTCCTTCTGAACAAGCTGACTCCCTCTTGAATGCAGTCATTATAGAGGAACTCAAGAATGATTGTTTTTCAATCACTGAAAATAAAGCCTCTGGCCCTGATGGATTTAATGGTTATTTTTTTCCAAAAACTTGGCTCATTATAAGCGAAGATAAATGTCTGATTTCTATCTTTCACGATCCTTGAATATATCCACTCGAAGGAAAGGGGTGGAGGTTCTTCGAGATTTTTAAGTAACAGTGAAGTGAAAATCAGCGTGAGTTACTATTTCCACCACTTTAATTATGTGGCAGTTGACACGGTCAACTCCAAATTTATTCATAACATAGTATATTTCCTCTTCCTATGCCATTATTCTTCATCATGTTTCATTTTGGTGCTAACCCGCTTCCAAATTGTTCACACAAATAAATAATTCTTCACCAAAAAAAAACTAAAAGAAATACCTTCATCTTCTCCTTTCTTTAGTTACTAATTTCACACCATAACAGATTAAGTTTTGGTTTGAGAATTAGATTACATAATAATCTTTAGACGTGGTTTTGGAAGAACTGATGACCATTAAGTGTTGGATGAACACTTAGTGTTGGATGCACTTTCACCCCTCTATTGTATCAAATCAAGACTAAATATCCAAAAAGAAAAGAAAAGAAAATTAATTTCTTGCCTGAATCATTCTAAATATGAACTTACATTTTTTTAAGCTTTCTTCTCTCATTTCCACACTCCCCAAATCGAAGGGCTTGAACTTTAATTTTCCCAGTACTCAACTCCCATTGCATACTATGCTACTTGATGCTGCATTCATCTTTATATTCAAGCAGAATTCAAATATAGAAAAATTAATGTTGAAAACAAACTTTTACATATTATTGACAACAATATACGGATTCAAAAATAGATAATGAGCAATACTTGAGCATGCTTTCGGCAAATGAATAGTAAATGAGTTAGAATGAAAAACAATAGGATGAAACTTGGGGACAGGGAAAACCATTTATGAAAAGAAAGGACTTACTCAAATGAACTTGAATGTGATAGTTTAGAAAAAAATAAATAAAAACTAAAGGTCTTCAAGAAACGCAAACATGCATCACACAAGCAAAGAGAAAGCGCGAGAGAAAATATACGGAGAAGACAAGGATAAAAACTCAAAATTGCCATGACAATTGGGAATAGAAACAACCAGGGAAGCGAAACCACCAGTAATAAACCTGCTTATTCAGCGTTTGGCTTTTAGCCTTCCATTTGATAATTTATGTATCAACTGCAATTTAATATTTATTGAATTTGAAGGTTTAACCTTCGGTATCAATTGTTTTTTCGGATGAAACTTCTGTTTCAGTTAAGACCATCTATTTTCCTGAGTAAGAAATAGTTTGGTTCAACATACAAAACATCACTTGCTTATTGAATATTCAATTCTAGAATTTGTAACATCATGTGAGCTTTTTCATTATGTGTGAGCAGCTGTGAAAGGAATACGAAAGATATGAAATACTAACTCATGTTTTCAAATTCAATGCAAATAAGTCAAGGTAACTATTTAATGAAGGATTAAAATGATATTAGAGGATCAAATACACAAAGATTTATGTGTCCTTTATCTTTTTTATGGGGACATAGTAGTTAATCAAAAGTTTTTCACTTAATTTCTTTTTATTAGTAGTATATATAAAAAAGCTTTTGCGCGTCTTTATATTCCTTGGCATTTGTTCCCTTCAACAAATCCTTTGCTTAATATTGAGAAGTTGTTCTATAGAGAAGTTAATTGCTCTCTTTGCTTAATAGTCTTTCCATTTATTAATGAGCAATACTACATGGACTTAAAACTATATTTGATAATTATAAATATTGATTTCACTGTGAGTCCCAATATTTATTGAGACCCACTATCTATTCAATAGTTGTGATTATTAAATGAATAGTGTTATGTATCCCAAATATATAACCCAAATTTGTATCTCAAATCAATGAGAACCATTGGATCAGTGGGTCTCATCAACTTTTTTAAATGAGACCCACTGATCTAATGGTTCTTCTTGATTCGGGATGCAAATTTGGGTTACAAATTTTAAGTTCATATAGTATTACTCTTTATTTATTGTTAGTTGTAAGCTCTCTCTTTCTTTCTCTCTCTCTCTTATTAGAAAAATGGCATAGAAAATTAGAAATCCCAACATCATAAAACGGTTCAAAAGTCTTTTTTCCTTCCCTCTCTCCATCACCCAATAAACCACACACACACATATATGGACAGGCGCCCTCATCTGTTTTGGAATTGGCCATGGATGAGAATCGATGGAGATTCCAAGTTTTTGAAGCTGAGAAGCCAAAGGTAGGCAAAGAGAATTACGAAAATGGATACGATGGAGACAAATGAGTGGATAATGCAAATGGCAATGTACAAACACAAGAGAAGCAAATAATTTTGTCTTGAACACTTAACTTGCTTGCTTGGAGCAGAGTTGAGGAGGTTCTCAATCGAACTCAAGCCGTAATTTCATCACTTATGTTGCCGGAGAATAATCTCCAAACAGATTCGGTGCTAATGGCTATCATCTAATCTCGGGTACAACCAATTCTATCCTAACTGTTCAACTTCGTTGTGTGTGATTAATTTGAGTTAGTGTGTGTATATATGTTCACCTTATGATGTTTACATTTATCTTTTGATTAGTTGGTGTATACGTGCATTACATGTGAATCAATTTGAGTTAAAATATTTATTTTGATTTTATGTGATAGATTTGAAAGTAATGATTCATGATATTGTGACTTTTGATACCTAATGATTGGTATTATTTAAGGAAGATAGTGGTCAAATGTTAGCTAGCATAGTAAACGTTTCAAACATGTTAAACACGATACATAAACATAAAAATCAATTCAACCAAATCAAAAAAGATTGATACATTTGTATACAGAGAACATCCTGACAGTATTCGATCGTAGAAACAAAAATCACATGACTAATCATGGAAAAATCAGGATTCCTCTAGAGCAACACATTATCAAACTTACATTATTATATTGAAAGCATACAAGAATCCTGTCACATTTTTCATGTGTAGGAAAGTTTAAACGAAACCTTAAATGTATAAAATCCAACGCCATTTCTCATAAGTGAGCAAATCTTGTTTTAATACCCTATTAAAGAACAAAAAACATCATAGCTTTGTATTTAAAATTCAAGCTTTTTTGTTGTGTTTAGAAATACAAAGATGTTTCTCAATATCTAGATATTTTAAGTTAGTAACCCTAAAGATTAAATTGTTATACCTAGGCCTTAACCTTTAGTAACCAAGGGAGGCAAATCGCTTCTCATCTATTTCTATGTTTTAGCATCAAACCCACAGTTTCTTTAGGGTTTGTTTAGATGGATTTTTGGGAAAAGTTTGGATTGACTTCTTTAAACTTTTCTAAACTCAAACCCCACTTTACAAAAATGAGATTCAACATTGAATCCGATTTATACTAATGTTTGGTATGCATCACATATATCTGTAGAACCCAAAAATATATCATAATTATTAACAACTATTTATCTTATAAATGACTATTTTATCCTTGATCAATTCAATTCATACTCATGTTAAGGGGTACAATTGTATTTTGTATTCTTAACCCCTTAACTCATCTTTTCAAACCCACCTCCCCCTTAGGTTTAACGAAACTCATGATCTTGGATTTAATATTCGAGTCAGCTACGGACCGGGTTTAAGAATGCAAGATTGAATTTTCAATCTAAATATAGAATTTGGAGGTCCTTTGGACTATTTTCTCCAAACCCATCTTGCCAAGCCCCCCCCCCCCCCCTCCCCCACACAAAAAAAAAAAAACAATCGACATTTATTAACACTAACCCCATTTGTAAATTAATGCCTTAGAGGTGCACCTTCTAGATTGAATATATATTGTTTAAGCTAGTTCTTTTTCATGCTCAATGAACAAATTTGCACCGGTAATAGTGGCAGGAGCCTATCATATTTGAACAACCTATAACACCGAAAGTGAAGGTATAACAAATTGCTTATAATAAGAAGGAAACGTACGAATGTGCTTCAAAAGAAATATCAATGCAGACCTCTTTTAGGCTTTATTCTACACTCCAATTTTGATTGAGATCAACTCCTCTTCATGTCAGAAAGTCTAAATTTCAAGTATTCTTTACACCTTCCAAGTAGTCATGGGCTATATCTAATCTCACTCAGATAGTCTGCCAGACCATTTCTTCTCTAACAAAGGTCTCCTACTTCAACGAGTTTGCAGCCATTCAAATTTTCCATGGGCACCACCTGAAGGATCGCATTAGAATCACAATGTACATTAAGTCCAAAGGTTGATTTTGACTTTGGGAATCTCAAAAACATAGTTAGTTGTTTAAGTGACCCTACATGGTTCCAAATCAAATTGAATTGTAGGATACAAAATCCTCACTTCCAGCTATGTACGAATGATTATCTAATGCATGTACTATAAAAACAAAATCAAGATAAACATGTATATGCGCAGCCCATCTATGTGTCAATACACAAAGTCAAATATGTCATACAAAAGAATAAGTTTCAAGCTTTAAAAGTTGTTAGAGTTTACCTTAATGTAAGCATCATTTTCATGGACACAGAATATGATAATCGAGACATAACTCCCACTTTTCTAACTGCAAAAAGATAGAAGCTAAGAAGAAACTCCAATGTGTTTGATTTGGAGGGTTGAATGCTACATATTAATTTACCTCCATGGATATGAT